CAGAGAGATAATTGACCCTATAAAAGATAGTCAGCTTCTTCAGGATGATCTTAATAATCTTAGCGCATGGGCTCGTAAGTGGCAGCTACGTTTCAACGCAGACAAATGCGAATCTATGCGAATCACGCATTTACGCGATAAGTCGGTAACTAATTATTTCTTAGAAAAGCCCCTGAAAGATGTGACTAATTTTAAAGATCTCGGTGTCACACTAACTAGAGATCTTTCATGGGGCCATCACATAAGTATCACTGTCAATAAAGCGAACAAAGTTTTAGGTTCCATTAAGTGCTCAGTAGGCACCGCTAACACAAATGTTTTTTCTATGCTGTACATGTCTCTGGTACGGCCAATCTTGGAATATGCGGTACCTGTTTGGTGTCCTTACCTTGTTAAGGACATCCATGCCCTTGAAAATGTACAGCGAAGAGCCTCAAGACTCGCTTTAAATCAACGCAAAGGAGAAATGTCCTATGAAGACCGATGCAAACTGTTAAAATGGCCCACTCTCTCTGACCGTAGAACTTACTTATCTTTAGTCGAATGTTATAAGATAGTTTTTGGTTTTTATCATTTAAATTTTGAAGACTTCTTTGATATTGCCACGATTCGGTCTACGAGAGCAAATCATCAATACAAACTCTATATTAAACCAGCTAGACTTAATTGTTACAAAAATTCTTTTTTTATTAGGATTGTCAAATTATGGAACGAGTTACCGGGTGATATAGTGGAAGCTGACAGCTTTCAGCATTTTAAATCTAAACTTAAATCGTACTTAAATATTTGATTGTAATGATTTTGATTTATATTTTGTCTTTTCTTTTAAGGGAGTTTTTACACAGGGATAACCTCTTAACTTCCTTTTCTAGAAGTATTTTCTTTTTAGTTTTATTTGTATATAATAGTTATCATCTGCTTCTGGAATAAATAAAGTATGTATGTATGTATGTATGTTGTTCTGTTGAGACTGAAACACAAAATTCAACAAAAGCCCGAAAGCCGCGAAAATAATCACCTGTATATGACGGTCCATTCTTGCACAAGCAATGCGCGAGATGTTTTCTTGACTGTAGATATCGTGACATGACATATATGTCAATCAGCGAAGTTTTGGCTCAAACATGTTGGTCCAATGCGACCACCGCCAAAATTTGGCCCTTGCGAAATTTTTGCCAATTTTTTCCTCGCCAAAAATTGGAAGTAAACAAAATTGGCTCTAGTGCGACCCGGCCCTAAGTTGTTAAAATTATTGGCAGTTTACTTTTCTCTTTGTTTATGTCTTGACTTGATTATTTGATTACTAATGGCCGACTGGAAGTGACAGTAGAATGTGAGCGCAGAGTGACACAGATCGGAAATGGAAGATGACATTCAACCATTGGGCGTGGGTTTAATACAATACGTGAATGGTTTGAGAGTAATCTTTGAGAAAAACCGTGTGAAATCCAGTGAAAGGAATATGTATAATCAATCAAAGTGCTCTGTGAGCAAACTCGTGAATTGACACATGATTTTTTAGATTATGTTTAATGTTATCTGGTTTAGGGAATTTTGTGGTTGATTGTCATATCTAGAGTACGAGCAGTAGTTCAGTGTTCGCTAATGTAGCAAAGAAACAAAGTAACGTTGGGATAAGAAGGCATTACAATTGAAATGATCATGCTATTACATTTGACAAGGTGGATGATGTCATGTGTTTTGGTTGGAAGTAAATGTGGGTGAAAAGTGAAATTTACTGTCTTTCGTTGTAAATATTAGAAAATCAAGGCAATACTGTCTTAATGAAAACATTAACGATTCCCTCTTTATCAAATGAGACAAACGGGAACGAGTTTTGAGTGATATAACTAATACCCCATTCACACCAGCAAAACATGTTTTGTTAAACTGGTTTTCATTGAATGAAAATTATAAACAGAGAACTGAAAAACTTGATTTTCCATTGGATTCAAGTACTAGCTAACTTGTATTTCCAATGTGCTACATTCAAGTCAAAAATATTCGGTTAAATAGTTTCTATGAAGAAAAAAAAATTAAACTGTGTTTAACAAAACAACTTTTAAACATGTTTAAGCTTTGGTGTGAATGGGGCATAAGCCAAGCCTGCCACCGTCATTTTGGATCTCCGCCTGGGTAGATTTAGGTCACGTGCTAGGCAACGTATGATCAATAACAAGATAGAATTTCATTTCAGGCCTATTTATCAATTTTGTGGTGTGTAACTTTCGCATTTTAGTACGTTGTTTGTATGTTGAATCTTCAAATTGTCTTGAAACTTAAAAGAAAATTGTTCTTTAAAAATTCACTGAAAATCGGTAGCTAAAATTGTTTGTTTAGGTGTTATCTGATTTTCGTGTTAACTTGTTATTTCGTCAGTCGCCGGCATCTTTTGTTGCTTCTCACAGGAAAAACACACGCGACGAAACGTAATGATCAATTTTGTCCTCAATCTCACGCTATAACAGAAAAAGCTTTTGAACATCTGTAAACTCCGAGCGCTTCGCAGTAAGTGATATTTTCAATGAATCTTCGGATTGTTTTCAAGTTCAAGGATTGTAAATTACAATTTTATGAAAAACGAAGGTTGTTCTGTTATTTCAGTGTGAATCCTTGCATGCCTGCCAGTCGCTGGCGCCGCTTGTTGAAACTAAAACGAAAAAAAAAACTCTTTTAAGATTATCATTGGCTTCTTTTTCACCCCACCACTATTCTTAGCAACAAAGGTCGCCATTTCGTCTGTTTATTGCTCGCCAAAAACTATAAAATGCACTCAAAGGCCTAAAATCTAAAAAAAGTTTACAGGAATCGACCAATCGAGCGAGCGAGCGAGCGAGCGAGCGTATGCCATTCCCCACATCGTATCTATAACTCGCTCTTGCGCATGCGCGCAATTCACGAGTTAAAAAGGAAAGTTGAACCCTGAAGAGTGATTGTTTTGTCGCGAGATCATTTACGACAAAGTATTGTAACCAAAACATTAGGAGTAAATGCTGTTCTGGAGGTAATGCCGAATGCATTGAATAAAGTAAAAGTGGAAAGGAACTTGTTAATTACTAAAAAAGAAACAATTGTTGTATTATCAGAGCCATGTCAGTCAGTAAAGTACATGCATTTGAAAATGTAAAATATCTAAAATCTTGACTCAGGTTAATTAATTACAATACAGTTGATAAATCCTAAGACATAGATAAAAAGATATAAAGATAGCTAGTGCTTTTATTTGTTTTTTCTCTCGCAAAGGTGTAAATAATAGATTACACAGTTGTTACTGATTACTGTAACAATTTTAGGAGCCAAAATTGCTCATATGCGCAGAAATCGCTGCTTTATTGCGATACCTGCTGGTGTATTGATAGACTGTTGAGCGAGTCTATATACATTAGTCTGGGTATAAGACTGACATAGCTCCTGGAGCATCATGGCTCTATTCACATGTTGCATATTTAGATGCAAGTGGGAAAAAAACTGAGTCGAGTACATCAAGTCGAGGCAAACTGGAGTACTTTCCGCGTCAAACGAATCAAGAAAAGTTTAAACGAAGTTTATTTTCTGATTTGCCTTGCTCTATTCGGCTTTTCTTTGTATTGATAAGTTCCAAAGAAAAAGAGCTCCTGAGTTGAATTATGATACTCCGTACAACAAAACGAGTTTAGATGAGAGAACGCATTTCGATTTAATGTCGTGAAACACAAAAAAAAACGAGAGTAGTCAAAACAACCAATCAGAAGGAAGAAAATGCATTTCAAAGAACCAATAAGAACGCAAAGTTAAAGAAAACTCTGTGGAGTGCTGGAAACGCTAATGATCAGGTCCTAAGACGGACAGATTTTTTTTTTTTTTATAAAGCATAAAAATGTTCTGTTTTTGTAATTTTGGTCTTTAGAGCTTCAACTCTTCATCTGGAATATCACTTTGTACAGGCTGAGGTTCAATTTTCATAAGAAACTTGGCAAACGAGGAAAGCTGCGGCGAAGAGCTTGGCGAAAGTCTTCGCTCCTGAAAAAATATATCCAGGGATTAATTGCGGACGAGGTAAAAGCGATTGCCTCAAGCCAAGGCCATACAGCGAAGTATATTTTTTCATCGGCGCACTTAAGATTTTCTGAAGCATAATAGTATTGAATCGCAAGAAAAACCATACTTGGCAGCCAAGAAGCGATGCAAACACTTAAAACAACGCCTACTGTTTTTATGGCTTTTAAATTTTCCTTTGCTCGAGATTTTATATTTTTGTCCTGAAGATTTTCTCCTAAGCTGATTCTCCTAAATTGTTTTCTGGCGGTTTTGAAAATCAACACGTAACAAAAAGTTATTACAAACAGAGGCAACACAAAAGCTGTAACGATCAAACACAACAATAGGTTTTCATTCATCATGTATTCCCCATGTTTTATCAGGATCCTTGAGAACGGAGCAAGCAAAGAGATTAACCACACTGCACTTATCACGGCATAGCATCTTTTCTTGGTTACCATGTGCTGATAACGGAAAGGAAACCGTATCGCAATAAACCGATCGATTGAGACGCAACACACGCTGTATGTCGTAGCAGTGGTGGTGTGAATCCATAACATTTCAATGACGTAGAACATTATGCCGTGTGTATCTGATGGCTGAATCAAACATCTGATCACGATCCAGACAGGGTCTATAACAAGTCCAACTAAAAAGTCTGCCACAGACAACGAGGCTAAAAATCGGTTGGACATTGTTCGTAAAGACTCGTTTCTATAGAACAACCACAACACAACTGCATTTCCAAATACAGCAGCTAAACCAGATAAGAAGAACCACAGTGATAAAACAATAGACGCTGCATTGCTGAGATGTACCTCCGGGCAGCTCATATTCATTGTCCAGGTCCACTGGTGGCGAAAGGAAAGCACTTAAATTCCTTGAGAAAGTTTCGGAAATCTACCTCTCTTTTTATATCTGACTTTGCTTTTCAGAAGTGTCTGACTAGATGTGTTAATTTCTTTTGCAATAAAAGGCAGGTGCAATCTTTTTTTTTGTATAATCGTTTTTGAAGGGAGTAAACAATCTGTTGGCAGCTGATTTTCATTATAACAGCAAATGATTTAATTAAACCGTGTAATCAATAACTTTAAAGAAGAAGAACCGCAGTTCAAATTTATTGACCGTGATACACGAAGGGTGAGTCAAATTCAACCCAAGTCAAATATGTCAACTCTTTTGAAATATGGAGAAGCGTGATTTGTTTATTTTGAAATATCCATATCTGTGGGAATTTTATATATTATAAAGTTAGAAGAGGCTGCTTCTTGAAGAAAAGTAATTTGAATACTTCATTAAAGTTTCTGACAGTTCTAAATATTCATATGGCAGATCAGGGAGTAATTTTCTTCACAATTTTACTTTTTGAAATGAAAGTTAAAGACGGAGCATGGCATTGGCTGGTATAAGTCGATCCCAAGTATCCAGTTGAGTTTGGTTAAGGCGGAAACGGGAAAATGTTTCCTCGGACGTGTACACTATGAATAATTTGCAATGGCTGAAAATACGTCCTCGTCGACTTTCAAGCTAGAAATAGCCCGGATACATTTTCAAGTTTTTTTTCCAGTTCTAAGCCTTCGTCTTTAACTCTTGATGTACGCTTGCGGCTGGTCTCTAGGGAAACTTAATCAGAACAAGAAAAATTTTCAAACACATTGCGATCAAAGTGGCAAGGTGAGGAGAAAGTGAATGATAATTGATAAACAAATAACAAATAAATGAAATCCTTCGTATATGAGTTGATCGTCGGTGATGTATATCCTTTAGCTAAAAACGAAATTTTTCACCAGAGGGAAAAAAAAAGCCAGTTTAAAACCCAAAGTAAAACAACCTTGTCAGACTTACGGCGGCTGAGAAAGAATGTATTTCTACTACGATTGAAGCGAAGATACAACCAATCCGAGTCAGAAATCTGATTATATGATATACGGTAATTTTTAAAGCCAGGTTTTTTTTTTTAATTTTTTATTTATTTATTTAGTTATTTTTTTACTATCCATGTTTTAGCCGACAAATCAGATATTTTCTCAGCTTGGAATTTGGAATTCAGGTAAACCCCCTTCCTCAAGAGGGTCTCGATGGGGTGATGGCATTTACGGCTAATGGCATGATGGGCTCCTGCTATTGGTTAAAAATTTTAAACACTCTACCGCTAACAGTTAATATCATTCCTTAGTTGTCACCTACATTTTTTTTACGGTTCACATTTTGATGACCATCATTTAAAATTAGCCAATTTTTACGCGCAACTGCTAACCCCCATCGAGACCGGTTTTGTCACAGTTCTCACGACCTCGTTCCCCTGCAGCCCGCTGGTTCCCAGAGTCTCACTCATTTGGCTGATCAACTCTGATTGCGTGACATACCTGGGGTCTTCGCCTTCATGTACATCAGCTCCAGCTGTCTAGCGGTATGTCACATGATTTTCACAAGCCTTTCATTTGCGATTTTGACAATGGCGTCCCACACTTTGGCAAGGTTGTCGCTTCTTTTCGCTGCTTTTTATTGCACTTTACACTGCTCTGAGCCACGATCTTTTGTCATCGATTTCGATAACAATTGTTTTCTAAAAGATGGAGAGCCATTTCGTTACATATCCGGAAGCCTTCATTACTTTCGTGTTCCGAGTTTCTACTGGAAAGATCGACTCATGAAGATGAAGGCAGGCGGTCTGAACGCTGTTCAGACTTACGTTGCTTGGAACATTCACGAACCAGTTCATGGGCAGTACAACTTTGATGGAGACGCAGATATTGTGAGTTTTATTGAGCTTGCAAACAGCCTTGGACTCCTTGTAATCGTAAGAGCTGGTCCATACATCTGTGCCGAATGGGAGTTTGGAGGGTTTCCACCTTGGTTGTTGAAGTCGAACATATCAATGAGTTTACGATCTACGGAGAATCCTCAGTACATAAGCTATGTCCAGTCCTGGATGGGCGTTCTTTTGCCGAAGCTAAAACCTCTCTTGTATGCAAATGGCGGACCTATCATTTCGGTTCAAGTTGAAAATGAGTATGGTTCTTTCGTCGCTTGTGATCACAATTACATGCAATTTCTGCAGCAGCTTTTCCGCGAATACCTTGGTAGTGATGTAATTCTTTTCACAGTCGATGGTGATTCGGAGGCTGACCTTCAGTGCGGTACTCTGCCAACACTGTACGCCACGGTAGATTTTGGAGACAGCACAGACCCGGAAAAAGCATTCGCAGTTATGCGCAAATTCTCCCCCAAAGGACCATTGGTCAACACTGAGTTTTACCCAGGTTGGCTTGACCGCTGGAGTATTCCTCACCAAACAAGAGATGCAACAGATGTGGCGAAAACTCTTGACAAGATCCTGTCTATGAACGCTTCAGTTAACTTTTACATGTACGAGGGGGGCACAAACTTTGGTTTTATGAATGGAGCCAAGCCCAAAGACTTTTTACCAAGTATAACTAGCTATGATTATGATGCTCCTTTGACAGAGGCCGGTGACACATCAACAAAGTTCAGTATCCTATTGCAGACAATTGCCAAGTATGAGATGATTCCAGTTGGCCCAATCCCTGCTAACACAACAAAGTTTGCTTATGGAAAAGTCCAGATGACTCTTCAGTCAACTTTACTTGAAGTTTTATCAAAGCTTGCCCCCTCTGGCCCTGTGTATTCATCAATTCCTTTATCCATGGAACAGATTGGACAAAATTATGGATTTATTCTGTACAGAACACAAATTCCAGAATCATTTTATGAGTCTGGTACTGCTGTCCTGGAAATCAGTGGCCAACTGCATGACAGGGCAATAATTTACATTGGAAGGGTCCGTCAAGCCACATTATTCCGTGATCAAGATGAACTCTCAGCCTCTGTTAAAATTGGAAACTTTCTGCAGCTAGACATTCTTGTAGAGAACATGGGTCGCAGTAATAATGGAATTGCTGATCCTAAGGGAATCATTGGTAATGTTACTTTGAATGGAACGGTACTCATACATTGGCAGATGTATGCTATAAATTTGGACAATCTGTTTTCAGATTCTTATGAGCTCTGTATCAAATCTGATGACAACAAGAAGCAAAGAGATATGTTTAATTCAGATTATGAATATGCTCCATCCTTTTACTATGGTGAATTTCCCGTAAACTCTTCATCTGACACATATCTTCAACTGCCAGGCTGGAACAAAGGCCAAGCCTTCGTCAATGGCTTCAACCTGGGTCGATACTGGCCTGTAGTGGGTCCACAGAACACATTATATGTGCCTGCAAGTGTGCTTACAGCCAACCAGAATGCAAGTGTGCTGATATTTGAACTAGATCTTGCTCCATGTGAATATCCAGAGGACTGTTATGTTGAATTTGTGGCAACCCCTTCCATTAATGGAGAAGTCCACCCATTAGATCAAAAATTAGTGGGAGTTTGATATGCATTCTTGCTGGAAAATTACACAGACTGACCACTGAACACCTACTTTAATAACTTAGATGTAGAGTCAATGCTTGTGAACAATTATAGGTGGATATCAGTATCTTCAGAAATCTCAAACCATGATTTAACCACAATTTATAAGATAACAAGTTGATGTCACCCTACCCTAGACTTCAAAACAGCTAGTTTTATTTCATTGAAGGTGACTGCTAACAAGGTCAGAAGTTCTCAGAACACAAAGGCATCAACCTTTTCCAGTCTTACTCCTTGTTTCATGTTTATCTTAATAGACATTCAAATCAAAGTGGGCAAGGGTATAACTATTGGAGGGTCCTGGGGGTGCTCTTCAGCCCTCACTCTCAGTGGAAAAAATTTTTTTTCAAGTCAGTAATAATTACAAATGTTTCTTAATGATCAGGGCTTGCAAAAGTGTTCCAATCCAAAGGCTCTACAAATCATAAATCTTTTCCAGTGCTGGATGTGCAATTTCCAAGTACATCTTACTACATAACTACATTTCGCATGATAAGGAATTGGAAGGGCAGGTAGATGTCAGTGATACATAATAATGACTACTGGAATCATAGAGAGTTATGTTTGTCTTTTTGTAGTAACTGCAGTTATCTTTAATGTGTGGGCTGCAATAAAAACTGTAAGGTGCATAGGGCCATAAATCAATTTTAAAAAAATCAAGTGTCTCCTTAACAGTCTGAACCAAGACAGTTAGTTGAGAAATGCTTTAACTTTATGCATCCTCTGTATCAGATCATATACATTTGAAATGAACCATGCTGGTACTAGGGCCAAACCAATCATCCTCATGTACTTTAATTTCAATTAAAAGAAGAGTTTTTAGCCCCAATAGTAGGCAAAGGTTGTGCTTGGATTGTAGGGAGAGGTACAGTTTTGATAATTTTCCTGCAATTTAGTGGAATTACTTTGGTAATTAGTATGCGCTGTTAATTTGCTTTATAGAGATATTAGATATCAAATAACATGTCATAAATCAAATGAAAACATAGTTTCTGTTATTTAAATTGTAATAATAGTCTGCAGCATGGCTGTTAGTGGTCAATGCTTGAGATTGTTAGAAAGTAGGGAATAAATTTTGCTTATTGTTATCACTGCAGTTAGTTGTACTTTCTTGGCATGCATATTATATTCCTTTCCAGAGCTCTGCTTTTTCTCACTAAACCTAAATGTGGACATTTAACCCTTTACACCAAAACATCAGTATGCATTCTCTCTATACTGTTCTCTATACATTTCCAAAGGTGCTTGTAAGGAGAATTTGTTTGAAAATCAAGAGCTTCTTTGGTAGGTGTCAATAAGTTTTTTCCTTGTGACCTTACTGAGTGATTCAGGGGTGGAATGGTAAAGAAAAGTAAGATGCTAGTCATCCTAAGGGGTTAAATAGTAAAATATTTGTTTGGGTGGCAATTCTATGTAAAGATCAAGTGTTCAGCAATTAATAAAAACATGAACAGAAACTTAGAAAGCTGACACAAACCAACCAAACAAAACTGGATAAACTGGAAACTGGAAATGATAGACCAAAAATGATGGGTAAGTGGGGGAGGGGGGTGAAAAATTCATGCGAGCAGAGATACTTGCCAAATTTCAGTTTGACTGGTGCATTTTGTGGAAAAGAAGTGAAGACCTCATTACAAAATGCACGACAACAGAACCTTGTCCTTCCTCAACCCTGCATGGAGAGACTAAAGGACTGATCACTTTTTATCCCTTGGGGGACAGGGGCTAAGGGATTTCGGGTGTGTCACCATACATTCTGATCCTCCATATGGCTCTAAAATTCCCATGATGCTCCAATGATTGGCAGTTCATTGGCAGACAATTTCCCATGGTTCCCCCTTTATATTCTATTCTGATCCTGCCTCCATTCCCCCTGTAATCCATGTGATCCTACTCCCAAACTACTCCACCCCCTCCCCCTTCCCCCCGACAGGCTATAAATAATGTCCCTGAGGATGATTAATGATTTCAGTCACGTGAACGCGAGTGGCAGCCACAAAAATTTACCTCACTACCTTGTTGGCATATTCTGATCTAATAAATGACCCTCTGCTAAGTTGCACGTCTTAAAACACGTGTTGAACATTTTCAAAAACAAGAAACTGGGCTTTTTGAAGTGAATCGGTGCTTCTGAAACAGTGTCAGAACAATTGCCATTGAATAGCGTGTGACTGAAATTTGATACTATCATATGAAGGGGTTTAAAACCATTACCTACTCGAACATGGCGTTCATCTGGGCAATCCTCTTGCCCTTGTTTGCTGTCCTAGGACAGACTGAATCTCGTTCATTCGTCATTGACTACGAAAACGATTGTTTTCTAAAAGACGGCGAGCCATTTCGTTATATATCCGGAAGCTTTCATTACTTTCGTGTTCCGAGTTTCTACTGGAGAGATCGACTCATGAAGATGAAGGTAGGCGGTTTGAACGCTGTTCAGACTTACGTTGCCTGGAATATTCACGAACCGGTTTATGGACAGTACAACTTTGAAGGAGACGCGGACATCGTGAGTTTTATTGAGCTTGCAAACAGTCTTGGACTTCTTGTCATCGTAAGAGCTGGTCCTTACATTTGCGCCGAGTGGGAGTTTGGGGGTTTTCCAGCTTGGCTGTTGAAAAATACATCAATATCACTGAGGTCAATGGAAAGCAAAGAGTACATCATGGCCGTAGAGAATTGGATGGGAGTTCTTTTACCGCGACTAAAACCGCTTTTGTATGACAACGGAGGCCCAATTATTTCAGTCCAAGTGGAGAACGAATACGGAAGTTTCCCAGCTTGCGATCACGCTTACATGGAACTTCTGGCACAGTTATTCAGGTATTATCTAGGGAACAATGTGATTTTATTTACAGTTGACGGTGACGCGGAATCGTATTTGCAGTGTGGCACGGTATCGTCTCTATATGCAACTGTTGACTTTGGACCTAAAACTAACCCTGAGAGTGCCTTTGCTGTCATGCGCAAATTTTCTCCTAGGGGACCCCTAGTCAACACCGAGTTCTATGCTGGTTGGTTAGATAATTGGGGAGAACCTCACCAGATGAGGTCAGCCACATCTATCGCCAACACACTGGACAAAATCTTGTCTATGAATGCATCTGTAAACTTTTACATGTATGAGGGAGGTACCAATTTTGGTTTTATGAATGGTGCGCAATACAGTGGTTCAGTTCTTCATCCCAATCCCACCAGTTACGACTATGATGCACCCTTAACAGAGGCAGGTGACACCACCACAAAATTCATGATTCTACGTGAAACAATTTCAAAGCATGAAGCCATTCCTGTAATTCCTATCCCAGCTAATACAACCAAGTTTGCATATGGCAAAGTTCAGATGACACAAATCTCAACATTTCTTGATCTTGTGCCCAAGCTTGCTGCTCCATATGGCCCAGTGAATGCAACATTTCCTTTAACCATGGAACAGATTGAACAGAACTATGGGTTTGTTCTGTACAGAACTGAGATTCCAAAGGGATTTGCTCAATCAACTGTTACCCTATCTTTTACCAGTGTAGCCCGTGACAGAGCCATTATCTATGTTGGAAGGGTTCGTCAAGCTACTTTGTACCGCAATCCAAATCAGACAGAGATCACTCTACATATTGGAGAATTCTTTCAACTTGACATTCTTGTTGAGAATGTTGGGCGAATCAACTATGGACCCTCCATTTGTGATCCGAAAGGAATTGTTGGAAATGTTACAATCAATGGAAATATCTTAACAAATTGGCAAATCTATCCAATAAATTTGGCCAATGTTGTTTCAAACTTGACTTCTCTCCTTCAAAATGAATACAACAACAATGTTCTTGACCCTTTTGCTGCTGATGACTTTGCACCATCGTTTTTTCATGGAGAGATTCCACCAAACCCAAAAGGAAATGCATCTGACACATTTCTTCAGCTTCCAGGGTGGAGCAAAGGACAAGCATTTGTCAATGGATTTAACCTGGGTCGCTACTGGCCTGTAGTTGGTCCTCAGGAGACTTTATTTGTTCCAGCCAGTGTGCTCTCACCAAATCAACAACCCTCCTCTTTGGTTTTACTTGAACTGGATGGTGCTCCTTGTGAATTCCCTTCAAGCTGCTTTGTGGAATTTGTGGCAAGCCCATCTATAAATGGGACAGTTCACCCCATAGACTGAAGTTATGTTTGACCATTATGGGGGGGGGGGGGAAGGATTTAAGAATTTTTTATAGGAGGTTCAAACTTTGATCTAAAAAAAACTCTTCTTTTTAATCTAGAGCCTAAATATGCTAAAAATATTCCAGGAGAAGTAAATTTTAAATGGAGTAATTAAGTACTATTAACTGAGCTGATGACATAAATTGGCCACAATAAAGAGTTTCAAAGCTCACATTTCAAGCATTAGCCCCCAGAGCAAATGGACAAAGGGCTAACGCTTGGAATGTCAGCTTTGAAACTCTTCATGGTGGCCAGTTTGCGTTATCAACTCAGTTGTTAATACTAAATTACCCTGTTCTACTCTCCCACTGATTTATCACTATAGTTTTATTAGAAACTTACCCCTTTCATAAATTTTCAATGGTTCATATTTGGGCAGTATTAAATGCAATCCTGCCATGATTCCAAGTTTTTGGTGACACCAAAGAGGTAAAGGAGGCCCTCTATTCTGATAGTTCTTAGTCATGCATATTGCTCTGGGTTTGCAAATCATGTGATCACATTAAAAAGATGACCATAGTTATTCCAAAAAGTGATATGTATCACTGTGTTTGAGTTCTTTTGTTGCTAAATCTTGATAGAGATTTCTATTCTCTGTCACTGGTTGCACAGCCCCTTTTCTTAGTTTTCAGTTTTATATAAAGCCTATTAGTGATTTTTGGGGGGAACTTAAGCTGCGGATGATGAGTGTGAAGCTTTCTGAGTATAAAATTTTCCTTTTAAAAAATGTTTGGATTTAATGATTGGCAGGTTGTAGATACAGGAATTTATTGCTCATGAGAAGTGTTTTACTCAGGATGGTTTTATGCCAGTCATAAATGATTTAAACATTTGAGAATTTTTATAAGGGATTTGTCCTCTTCATTAGTTTTTATAGGTTTATCTAAAACTTTAATTTTTGATTTTTTTTCAAGGTTTCCTTACTTCAATAAGACATGTCTTGAATACTCTCACTCTCTTATCCAGAAGTGAGCTGATATTCTGCTATAGCTTGAACATGACTAAGAAGTGATTTGGGGTACTTTTTTCATGTAACCATGCAAATCTGGGGAAAACTACTGGTATCAGTGAAAAATAGGAGTGCTCAAGATTGTTTGCATTAATAAACTTTTACACTGAGAGAAAAGAAGCAGGTGTATGTTGTTAATTGGTTTTATTGACCCATTATGCTGCCAAATTTATGATGTTTCTGTCTGCAACAAGAGTGTCTTAACCATGATCATGACACAAAGTTTTTTGTTATTTTTTGTTATTTTGGGTTATTTATGCTACAGGTATTTTGATACTGGAAAGAGAGCAAAGAATTTGGAAACAGCTCGGTTACCTTAAGGAAATGCTCCAGTCCCATGATTTATGTATGTTCAAATAATGGAAAATATAAATTATCTCACTTCTTTAACATGAAGATTCCTCGTCAGCTGATTATCACTGTGACTTGCGACTTCCCAGCACTTTCATAATAGTCCGATAGTACAAGCCCTGTGATTGGCTCAGTGAAAAACCGATCCCAGTCTTGAGCGGCTTAGGAGCCATGCGTCGCTGACTTTGACCATTCAATAACGTCCACGCGTTTCATTTGAATTTCTCTCTGCCGTATTTTAGCGGCGTGACTCTTCGATTTTCCTGTCTATCCCCTTTAGATCTCTAAACTATCGAAAACTGTCGGAAATTTTCGGTTATAGCCCCTAATTTATCAGTATGCGGTTAAAACAGATACTCGTGTACTTGGCACTTGTAGTACTTCTTTGTACTTTGTCATCTTGGGCTGCTGACGATGTTGAAGTCGAAGATGAAGAAGATTTGGACAGCGACAGCGAAAGCGAACCAGAAGATCAAGAAAGTATCAAAATTATTGTATAAATGAAGAATCGCTTCTTAAACGTAATTGTCTACCTACGTTTTTACAGGGCAAGGAGAAAAAGAAGGCACCTGAAATTGAACCATACAAACCGCCGGTTATCAGTCTTGAAAATGAAGACTCCGTATTTTTTTCCGAACCTTTTGCAATCCGTGGCGAATTTCAGAACAGGTAAGCAACATTATTTTCAGATGGCGTGTGTTAGGTTCATTCTCTGTTGGATGTTTGCGGGCCTTTGTTGCAGTTTGCATTAAGCGATCGCCAGCGTGTAAACGCATGACAGGCTGGCTTGCAAAAGGAAGTTTGCACGAGGTCTTGATGTTTATACAGTCAAGTAGTTTTTGTTTTAAAAACTTCTCCCAGAAAATATCCCTCACCTCCTTTGTTGCTTTCTGTACACCTTTGTATTGAAAAAAAAAGTAGCATCTAGGATATTTCTCTTTAGAGTGGCTCGACAAGGTTTTTGATGCGCTATGCATTATGTTTTTGTCAACTCATCACGCCTAAATTTTTGTCTCGTATTTATTTCCTTATTTGATAAGCAGCACATGTCTTGACTCTGATAACTTGAAAGTTCCGAATCATTTTGTTAGGGAATCTGTAGATAGCAAGTACAGAGATAGCTATGTCGTGAATCCAGCCCAACAGGTGCAAGAACCCTCTGACATTTGCTATGGTTTTAAAGCGTACACAATGGGTTTCACTATTGTAGAATAAGGGAGTGTTCCTCAAAACAAAAACACACGTATAATCAGAAAGCTTATCTAAATTGCAGTAAGAGAGGAAGAAAAAATTTTTAGATTTTCCTCAACAAAAAAGTGTGTTGTTGATAAAGTTTATTATCACTTTGCAGAATTTTTTTGTAGCAGATGTATCTACAAATATTTATATTGGTGTGGCAATTACCAATGAGATCCATGCAACTCAATGTGTTTCTCAAACAAATAATAAAAGCTGTTTTTGTAGGCAACAGGTTGCAATGTTTGGGCTACTGCTGAGAATCAGGAGTGAAATTTTCTCGACAAAAATTGTTGTAGTTTCTCGAAGCTACCAAGGCATGCCTTAAAACCTCTACACAAAGTACACTATTAGCTTGCATACCCCACCTTCCTTTCTACAAAAACCAAGTTTCCTTTATACTTGTCATAGGCAAAATACCAGTGTCTTTATTCAGTATAAATATCTTAAGGACTCGTTGTTAAACTAGCTGTATTCATATTCCTTTTAAACCTTTAACAACTCAGCATTAGTGTTTATATTCTCCACACCATTCCTCTATATTTCCTTTAGTAATAGCATGGAGAATTTATTTGATGATCAGGAGTTTCTTGAATTTGTGATCATTTGCCACATTCTTATAACCTTTATGTTTAACTCAAGGGTGATACTGTAAGGAGAGATTAGAAGTCAGGCCTCTAAGGGGTTGAAGGGTTTAAGTGTAACACACTGGCTCTATATTGTAAAGAGTATGAATGTAGAAAGAAAAATTGACAACTACTGCAGTTGTACTGTAAAAGTTGAATGTTATCAACTCCGTATCTTAACAAGTGTGTTGTTTGATTTATTGATAATGTCACCCTCCTTGAGAGATGGAGGCCCCTTTAAAAAGCAATCAGAAAAAATTTAAGTATCATTTGTAACTTGAATAATAATTATACCTTTAAAGGTTTCTGTAGACTAACCAGTTATGGTAACAAAGTAAAAAAAAACATATATGGAGTCTTGACTTTGTTGAATAAGACTAACCAGTTATGGTAACAAAGTAAAAAAAAACATATATGGAGTCTTGACTTTGTTGAATAGTACAGGATGTATAAATTACAAACGAGTTGAGGGTAGTTTGTGTGATTTGGTAGTTAATTGTCAAAATTATTTTCTTATTTCTTTGTCCAAGACTGGCAAAGTACTTAGGACAACCCAAGAAAGCTTAAGTCGCTAGCGTGCCATGATAGTAACAATTGTGCTCAATTTTTGATAGTCTCCAGCAAATGCTACTTTTTCTTGTAGTTCCTATAATTTTGTCATAACCTTGTGTAAGCTTAAGCAATTTAAAATGCTAACTGAATTGAGCATACACGGTTTTAATAGTTCTTGAGCTTTATTTATGTTTTGCTACCTTATCGTTAAAAGATGTATTTTATCTTTGAAACTACAGATGGTTGAAATCTCAAGCCAAGAAAGATGGAGTTGATGTTGAAATTGCCAAATATGATGGTAAGTTGAATTTATTTTTATGGTAAACTAAAGAATTTGAAATACTGACTACTGGAAAATCTGCATGACTCTTTGACTTTGAGAGCGGCTTTCTCTAATTTTTCCAAGAGATATATACCCTGAATCACACACGAAGGTCATGATAGTAAAGGAAATGATCACTAACTAAAGTAGGTCTTGATTGTTCAACAATCCTCCCTGTCAGCACCTTAGGAAATGTATAGAGAACAGTATGGAGATTAAGAACACAGATGCAAGGGGACAAAGGTTTAGTTGATGGGAAAGAAAAAATCATTGTTTCAATGTCAGTAATATCTCCAAGGCAACACTTAGTTTTAAGAACACTTCATTGTCTAGGGTTGCTTTGTCTATCAAGTGATCTCTCCAAGAGACCCACCACCAGAGAAAAAATGTTTTCCATGAATTGTATATTTAGTCATTTTATTGGGAATGGTTAGTAAACCAAAAACAGGACAGGTTATTGCTAATTAAATGTCCCCATGATATCTTTAGAAGGTGCTTTTGAAGCTGTTTGAAACAAACAAGAGCCCTTCTCTTCTTCCCGTGATGTGATTCCCAGAAAACAGTTAAATGGCAAATATTTCTTTAGTAGATTTTATATCTTTTCTCACTTTTTTTTATTGTTTTAACTATTATTTTTTTGTGCCATTAATTAACAATTGGTTCATACGTCAGCATGCGTTCATCAAGATATGAAGCACACAGGAAGATTGGAGAGCACGAAAGATGTGTAAGAGTTGCTCGAGGTGTAGCCAAGAGCAACTCTAGCTTCTTGAGTGCACTCCAAACTTCCCAAGTGCTTCATATCTCAATAAACGCACAGCTGACGTATGAACCAATTGTTTTATAACATTTTCAACCCGATAGAAATTTTTTTTCTCAAGGGATTTGTTTGCTGACGTCATGAGCGTGCACAATAGGAATATGAAGCACACTCGCACCATTGAATTTGATTAGACAAATTTACTAGCTATGTTACAAAACTTATTGATGTTTCCAGCTATGTATTAAGAATATGAGATGTGCTCCATGTGTTTTTGTGATCTGCAAATTCTTTTTTGTGCCAGGTAACTGTAGCAGACTTTAAATTGTTACTTTTTTTTCACTTGCACAACAGGTGAATGGTCATTTGAGGAGCCTGCCACCAAGTTATTCAGTGGGGATCTCGGACTTGTTCTTAAGGTGCTTTTCTTTTTGGCATAAAATTAGAAGTATCTCTCAGTTTCCTGCATTCATACCAGATATTCAAAGTGGGAAAAGTTCTAAGGTCATGACAATTGACTTTCAAATTTGACTGAGATATACAGATATTTAATATATGATCATCTGATTCCTTCATGCCTTTTGATTGGTTCTTGCTTATGATCTATGGGAAGACAGATGCATAAATGATGTCATTATTGACAACATTTTGCTTCTTTAACCCTTTAACTCCCAAGATTTCATTCGTAATTCTCCTTACTGTCTGCCATACAATTTAAGTGATGTTAGTTTGGGGAATTTGGAATTGGATCAACCAATAATCCCCTAATTGATATTATTTATTCTCATTACTTGTCTACATGATATTGTACTGACAGTGTAAGGAGAAATTCTGCCTAATTCACCAGTAGGACTCAAAGGGTTAACATATAAAACAAATAGATTCTATGTTGTGGTAAGTCTGCACTGTAATAGATCACAGAAGATGTCTAAATGTGGTTAGAACATCAGTAACACACTCTGCTGCACTTTGTGTGCCATTCTGTTGTTCTGACCAAATTTTGGCATACGTGGTACATGGAATCTATTTGTCAATGTTCTAATTATGGATGGATCTGGAAATGATTTAGGGTCACTGCTGGTCAAATCTGTTCCAAATTGTTACATCCTTTGAACTTTACAGCCATTAGATCTCTCACTATCTTTTTTTTTCACTTTTTTTTTTTCAGTCAAAGGCAAGACACCATGCTATTTCAGCCTTGCTGAGTAAGCCTTTTGATTTTAAAGACAAGCCATTTGTGGTCCAGTAAGTATATGGAAAAATATTGTGCTTTGAATCAGTTTCTGCTCAAAACTGTCGCTTTTAAACTCAGAAAACCACAAGCATCTGAAATATAAGTGGGATATATTTGGTAAGATCCAACTGCAAACTGACAAGGGGAGCTGCTTACAGTTGAATTTTCTCATCCTCAATTAGTTTGTTTTTCTTGATACAATAACAATCCCAAATGTTTGTTCGTGGTTGTCCAAGTTTCACTGTAATACAGGAAACAAGGAAACTTATTTGAAAGTATGTAAAATTATGTATGTGTACAACATGTAAAACATGCAAATCCAAGCCATTATCCTTAACCCTTTAACTCCCAAGGTCTCATTAGTAATTCTCCTTACTATCTGCCAAACAATTCTTATTATGTTAGTTTGGAGAATTTGGTATTGAATCAATTAGTTATCTCATAATTGATATTTTTCTTTATTCTCATCACTTGTCTGCATGATATTGTATAGATATAGTATAGATATAGTAAGGAAAATTCTCTCTTGGTCCCTCGTGGGAGTTAAAGGGTTAAAACATATGATCCCTATTATATAATTTTTGATTTTGATTGACTTGGCTATGCTTAATATTTTCCATCAAGGTATGAAGTAAAATTTCAGCAGGCGTTGGAATGTGGTGGTGCTTATGTCAAACTTCTTTCTCAACAAGACTCTTTTGACCTGGTAAGGACACAGATAGCTATGTCTGCTCAGATTATGAGTCAGAACATCCATCACTGTCTTACTTAGGCAACTTTCCATTTAGGACTACACAATTAGACTGAATGATGTACTGTTTACTCCTTGGTTCAAGCATTAAGTTCAAGCAGAACTGTTGAATTTATTTATTTCCAATTTTCACCTGCATTTAAAATGGAAACTGCTGTGTATTATGCCCTGTAAAGTGGGAGTATTGTGTGGTTATGAAGTGGTATGATTATGTATTTCATCAAAATCTAAATTGATTTCAAGAAAGTTTGTGCACAAGTAATGTTTTTCTTACTAATATCTTGCACAGTAAGTGATGTACTCCTTTTTTTTGTTTTGTTTTTTCCTAGAAAACTTTCCATGATAAAAGTCCGTACACCATTATGTTTGGACCTGATAAATGCGGTGAAGACAAGAAGGTATAATTTAACATATTATTGAACTTGCGAATGAATACTTGCAAACCAAGCTTTTATCAATTTATGTCACTTGCCCTGATACTGGCAAAAAATACCTGCATTGTTTACAAAGGGGATTGAAGGAACTTTGTTAGCAGCCTATTGTTATACTATGAAATAAAATAAATCAGGGCCAATGATTGACTGGGTAATGAAAAGCAAGTTTTCTTCTTCTCCCATGGTTTAAACACTTGATGCTTTTTGACATTGCTGTTCCTAGCTATATGCAAGATGCCTGTTACATACGACCCCAGTGACAAGATGAATAAAAAAACATCTGTCTCTGCTAATTTATTTCTATGTTCAAAATTTACCATTCCTTCCATCTTATGTTATCTATATGCACATGACCCTGTGGACATTACTGACCCTAGCAGTATGCAGGACACTTGTCACATGTGAACTGCTTAACCACCTTCCTCACCATAGAGTCCCTGTGGCTCATTGGTAGAGTCATGCAGCATGGAAATTAAAGGTCTGAGGTGCAGTTGCTCATGGGGACACTTCTGACAAGACAATAAAAACATCTTCCTCATTTTCTTTTTTTTACTTTACCTGCTTTCAGCTACACTTCATCTTTAGACATAAGAATCCAAAGACTGGTGAATACGAAGAGAAACATGCAAAGAAACCTACTGGAAACTTCCAGAATGTTTTTGATGGCAAAAAGACACACTTATTCACCTTGGTAGTGAGACCTGACAATTCATTTGAAGTATTTGTGGACCAAACAAGCGTGAATTCAGGCAACTTGTTGGAAGATGTCACTCCCGCAGTCAACCCCCCAAAGGAGATTGATGATCCTAACGACAAAAAACCAGATGACTGGGATGAGAGAGAAAAGATTCCAGATCCTGATGCTGAGAAGCCTGACGATTGGGATGAAGATGCTCCCACTAAAATTCCTGATCCTGATGCAAAGGTTTGATTAGTTGTTCTATTTTTTGATACTGAGAAGACACTTTTTCCACAACTCTTTGCTGACAAGAACTTACTGTTAACCCTTTAACTCCCAGAAGTGATTAACATGAAATTTCTCCCTGTGCTATCTCTACATTATGCAGCACACAGGTAATGAGAATACTCCAATTTATCAGTTACACATGTAGAAGTTATCTTGATTCAACTTCAAATTTCTGCAACTAAATTAAAAGGAAATGTTTAGCAGCTGGAGGGGAGAATTAACAAGTCTTCTGATTTGGTGATTTGATCTGATTTGAACTTTAATATATTTTGGTAAAGCTGTTATTCTTTGACATGATGGGGTTCCTGTTCATGATATTTCGGGTTAAAACATGCTGGAGCCTTAGGTCATGGATCAGTGAAAAAAAAAAACTCTCTCTGGTCATGTAGCTGAGATGAAAGTTGTTCCAAGCATCTATTTCTTGATTTAGAAACCTGATGATTGGCTGGATGATGAGCCAGAGTATGTTGCTGATCCAAACAGTGTTAAACCTGATGACTGGGATGAAGAGGAGGATGGTGAATGGGAGGCACCCCAGATTGGTGAGACTTGTTGTTTCAGTGGAATGAGTCTTCCTCTATTTGTGAAATGAGGTTGTCTGTTTTCTTGGACTGTTGTAAATTTCCTCAATTTTCAGATCAGATTAGGGATCCATAGCCTATTAACACAAACTGTCTGGTAACAGTAGAATTTAAATAAGATCTTTTCTTTTTTAATGATGATGTTGTTGTTGATTTCAGCCAACCCCAAATGTGAGAAAAGTGGATGTGGAGAGTGGAAGGCCCCTTTCATAGATAATCCTGCTTACAAGGGGAAATGGTCCCCGCCACTGGTTGATAATCCTGACTACAAAGTAAGTAATGTGTGGATCAACACCTAGATTCTCATTAGTTTATCAATATGGGTGGAGGAGATGGGTTGTGAGAGTTTAACAAATGATACTAGATAAAATGGTTGAGCTCAAATACAATCATTTTGTTTCTCAAGTATTATGGTTTTGACAATGGTTTGTACATGTGTACATTTTATAGGGTATTTGGAAGCCAAGGAAAATTGATAATCCAGATTATTTTGAAGATAAGGAACCTTTCAAGATGACTTCCATTGTAAGTAAAATCAGCTGAATTCTTTTATTTAAAATTCAATGATTGTAACTTGAAACCAAACCTTAGTTTACTTTGTTTACAAAAGTCATTTTAGATCTGATGTCTTCAGTGGGCTGATTACCTTCTGTAGACAATTGCAGAGACAGTTTTATCAATTTTTCATGTATTTTGATAATTGCACCACAAATACAATCAAATTATCAATCACATTTGGTTTTGGCATTCCTTGGGGGTGATCATTCATTACATTTTCTTGCAGTTGTGGTCTATTCAGCAGGCAGGTTATGACTGCTTTATTGAGCTTAAAATTCTCACAAATAGCCCACAATAAAAAAAGGGGCATGAGATGAAAGAACTCCTCATCTGACCTTAGGGGAGAAAGTAAGAGTAACCAGCATCTAATTTGCCCATAATGTTATTACTGCTGATTCATTCATTAAGATCATGACAATAATGGAAATGATTGTCAACCTAAGAAGCTTTGATTGTTCAATGAATTCTCCTTGTTGTTACCAAAGGAAGTGTGTAGAGAAAAGTATGGAGAATTTGTATACTGATGTTAGAGTGTTAAGGTTTAATACAACTTGTCAGATGAACCAGTAACTAATGGTTTTAATTTTTTTTCCTCTCCCTCAGGCAGCTGTTGGTCTGGAACTCTGGTCGATGACTCCAGATATACTTTTCGACAACTTCATTATCACCAATGACAAGTCCGTTGCTGATAAGTGGGCTTCTGACAGGTATGGGGAATCTTAAATTTGCTAACTCAGAGATTCCTGCCTAGGATGTTGTTATGTTGTATTGTACAGGGAGGGTAACTTATTTTGTGTGTTTGTTTTGGCGTGTTTTTGTGCATGTGTCTTTGATCAAAACCTGATTTACGATTTTTTTCTTTTTTGTACTGAAGAATTTATTTTCTGTTTTAGCTGGGTGAAGAAAAATGTGAAAGAAACCTATGGAGGAGATGAAGAGGTAAATCTTATGTTCCTTACTTTTGTGCCAAACAATTTATCTCATTTCATGATATGCTGTACAATCTTGCGCTATCAGTTGTTCTCATCCAGGAAAAAATAGTCTTAAATGACTGATGACTGTGAATATATGAAAATCATATATGTGAACTGCAGATAAATAAATGTATATGATGATCTTTGCAGTAATGAACACTACTGCAGCATAAATTTTTAAGAATGTGTCTCAACAGTATTATTAGAGATTAACCACAGTTGTATTGTTGAGTCAATGGAGCACAAAAGGCAACTTTAAACCATGACAAAGTCAAAACAGATGCCAGTAGATGGGCAGACATGCATCAGAAAGGCAGACAGACAGATAAACAGACAAACCATCCAATAGAGCAACTGACTGACTGCCTGACAGATCAGCAGACCAACAGACAGACAGAAAGACTGTAGGGTAGATAGATTACATAGAATCCTTGACAGATTGTCAAATAATTGGACAGACATTGTGAAATGCAAGATTTGAAGTTGATTTCTAGGAAAAGTTGTTCTGCCTGTGGCAAATAAAGTTTGCTAAAATGTTGTTCTTTGTAGTGAACTCTTTCCTTTCTTCTTCTAAGGGTGGAGTTGTGAATAACTTACTGGAGGCGACAAATGAACGGCCATGGCTGTGGGTGCTCTTTGTCATTGTTGTTATCTTGCCATTTGTCCTTATTGCGGCCTGCTGTTTCCCTGGAAGCAAGGTATGTCCAAGGAAAATAAGGTATTTAGAGTGAAACTGTTAGTAGGTACTTAACTCTACTGGGAATAAAAAATGGCTCTTATTGCAAGAGTCGAAATAATCATTTACTTCAAGAGATTTACTTCAGATTCTGGCAACTAGGACTGTCTCAAATTTTTTTTTAAACCTTTTAAAGCCTACGAGAGATCAATGTCTAATTTCCCCTTACAGTGATATATCTGAATTACTAGATCATGAGAGCAAAGGAAATGATTGTTGGCCTAAGAAGTGCGAAATGCTAAAGAAATTCTCCTTGTCAGTACCAAACAAAATTTATAGACTGAGGAAATGATGGGGAGTGTGGATATTGCTGTTGGGGTGTAAAGGGCGATGGAATTTGTTCTGGGAAGTTTTTGTGTTATTCAAGTAGTAATTGACTGATGTTGGTTTCAGAGTGACGCTGCTAAAAAGAAGAAGACAGATGAACCAACTGAAGATGTTCCAGCTGATGAAAACGAGGAGGTGTGTTCATCAATTTCCTTCTGGCAAACACTTCTCAGCCTGATGCACATTTTGCCGCGATATGTGTTGTAAATCACTAACATGGTTTGTTATAACATTCTATGTACACAGGCAGAGACAAAAGGCGATGATGAAGAGGAAACAGCGGCAGGTGATGAGGAGGTGAGGTTTAATATTTATTTTGCCCTTGTTATTCACTCTCTAGATTTAAATATTAGTTCTCTGTATTGTCAGTCAGACATTTCATATAAGGACAGCTCCAAGAATTTGGATTTTAATCAAACATTATGTCTCCCAACTGACATTTTCCTCTCTTCTCAAACCCATTCTTCTTGGAATTGTGTTGATATGGTAAGGCAAAATTTGTTTTTGGTTACACTGTCTTGGAGCTTAAGAGTTAATTACAATTATAATATGCTGAAACAGCTAAAAGCAAAATTATACTGTGTATTTTAACCATCTTCATATGTTTTCTTCTTTCAGGCTGAAGAGAAAAATGAAGAAGAGGAAGAAAAGAAGGTGAGTAAAAATGAAAGTTTTCTCCCAATAATGTTTTCTTTAATTCCCTGACAAAGGAATTGGAAGTGAACCTCCTGCTGAATTTTAAGAGAACTAAATATATGCAATACTGTGTCTTGGAATGTCTCCAACATGTTTTGGGTTGAAAAATGAATTTGGCTTTTTGATCCTCCAGGAGGCAGAGGGAAATGAGGAAGAAGAGCCAGCTGGCAAGGATGAGGTTGATGAAGAGGAAACTGAAAGGTTAGAAATTGAAAAATAAAGTACTTTTTTTAGTGAAAGGTCTTTGTTAGGTTCATCTATGACTGTGTAGCGAGACCTACTTAAAACTGCTTTGATGCAATCCTCATTGTTTTCAACTCATGTAAGCTCTCCACCTTGCTCAACTAATACTCCCACAGCCAGGAGTGACTGTTCATCCTGTTCCTCAATTTCAAGTGCTATCATATTGGAATTGAAGTTTATTCAGTAATTTTATTCTTGTTTAATTTGTGTCATGTTTTGGATTGCAGGATGCCAACAAGACGAAGACCAAGGAAGGATAACTAATGTCTGTTACACAGTTCCATTCTGCTCTCTGCAGGACTTATGATGTCTCCACTGACAATGCTACAAGGATTATTGTTTGACAAGACTCTAGTTTGATTGCCTTATTTCTTTTTAGTGCAAAGGGCTTGTCTTACTGTGTGTGGACTAAAAGAAGCATGATACCCTTGGGAGCCAATCATTTTGGAATTTTGAAATGCTGTGCAGAACAAATGCCAGTCTTTTAAGTGGCAGCCCTTGCAGCTACAAATGTTGTTGAGACTATGTTAGGATTGTCAAATAGCTATACAATGAAGTCAGATGTGATTAATGTGGAATTATGAGGTGTATCTGTTGATGATGTTGCCTATGCTGGATAAAATGTTTCCTTGTATTTGGTGTTGTTCAAAGTGATTTAAGAGAGGCATTTCTTTTGCATATCAAGATGTGATTGTAGAGCAGTTGAAATGTTCTCTTTTAGTTGTAGTTTGGAAATAAGTAAAGTGTGTGATTGAGCTATCTTTTTTTTTTGGCTGTCTTTTTCCAAGTAGGTTATTTACTTAAAGGTATTGAAGTTGTTAGTAAAACCAGACTTCATAGACTCTAAAGGGTCAATAAGCAGTTAAACAAACACAAGGGTCTAAGAGCAGTTTATCAATCCAATTTGGTGGCTTGGCCTTCAAACTTGATGACCTAACAATTTCTGGTAAATAATTTACAGAAGGACAGTTGCATTGAGAGTATTTGATGGAACTGTTTGGAAAATGTACAAGGATGTTCCTCACATTTTTTTTTTTTTAATATTTATCGGATGACTCAGGGGAACATTTCAAATCATGCAGGATGAGGACAAAATCACAAGCTTATCCATGTAAAACAGCACTTGCATGGTGAACTAATCACAGTGTAACTTTTGCAATTGAAGTGACATGTTTAATTTGTGGCATTTTTCACCCACTAGGTACTTTTTTTTTCAGTTAGACCATCTACATTTTTAGTTATCTTTTACATTAAATATACTTGTGTTAACTCTTTAAAAAACTTGCAGCAACAGAATGTTGTCATTTTAATAAAAGCTTTCGATGGTCTCAGTTTGTCTCATGAAGTATCACAATTAGTCCAAGATGTGACATAACTGTCTTTTTAGCTGTTATTTCTTCAGGTGTCATGCAGTTCCCCCCCCCCCCCCCTTAAAAAATAGTTTACTTCTGGGGGAGGTATTGTGAGACATACATCCCCATAGAAGAGCTGGATGGGGGAACCGACGAAGGGAATCCTCCAGACCCTAACAGTGACCAGCATCTAGTTTCTCTACAGTGAAACTGGAAACAAAAATCAACCTACAAAGCTTTCATTATTGCACAGATTCTCCTAGTCAAAACTAAGGGAATGTGTAGAGTAGAGTATAGGGAATAGAGATACTGATATTAAGATGTAAAAGGTTAAAAAGGATTTGAAAAAAGCGCAGATAGACAGGCCTCAAATTTGTCCCTACAGTGTCACTCTTGAATCAAATGGAGAATGTAAATATAAATGTTGGGGTATGAGGAGTGTACAGTGTAACAAAAGACTCAACCAACAGAACCAATTTAAAAAAACAGTTAATAATTATTAACCATAAACGTTTGTTAACTCAGGTGTAGGAACTGAAACTTTCATCTGTTTGTAAATCATTTTGGGAATTTCCCAACCATTGCCCAAGTTGTTCAAAACCTGAGGAAAACGCCTCTCAACCAATAACACCACAAGATGAACATTTTAATATTACTACATAAATATCTGTACACACAATTGTTTGAACCAAAACTGTAATGAGATTGAAGAGGGCTGTCAGCAATTTCTTCCTAACCAAAGGCTAAGAAAAATCCATGAACATAACAATAAGTGATTTCTCTAACATTTATATTATTATATTTCTTTTAATGGACAGATGACAGATAACATCATAAAGCATGAAGTAACACAAATTGTTCATACCACTTACAAATCAGAGTTTGAGGTATGTTTTGTAAGGAACCAAATTTTCTCTACTCAGATTAATGGCCCAGGCCGTAACTTGCGGTAAAGGCCAAGAATACAAGGTTTGGAAGATATATCTTTTTTTTTAACTAGGGGTTTAAATAGAGGGAAAATATTTCATTTCAAAAAAAAACTTTTGAATTCAGCAGGTTATACAGTGAAATATGGCCAACTAAATTGACCAATCATAGCACATGTACTTACTGTGAGATGTATATTAACAAACTATTATTAATAATGTATGAAATACCTTGAATGTGCTTGTGCCTAAATTCTAAAAACCTTCCAAAGTGGCTATTTACAGCTACTATTGCTACCATATTTTACTTCAACTTACAAATCTATTTTAAAAATATCATACTATCTTGAATTACAAAGGAGACCTTGAAACAGCTTGAGACACTGGAAAGAGAAGCTTTGACCCTTTAACTCCCAGATCAAATTTGTAATTCTCCTTACTGTCAACCATACAATTCTTATAGTGTTTGTTCAGAGAATTTAGTATTGGATCAACTAATTATCCCCAACTTGATATTTTTCTTCATTCTCATCACCTATCTGGTTGATATTGTATTGATATTGAAAGGAGAAATTCTGTCTTGGTCACTCATGGGAGTTAAAGGGTCAAGGAAAATTGCTTAATATTTAGTTGGCAAAAAGTTGGAGCTTTTGGAAATATGCTCTTTAGTTATGGAATAATATATACTTTGTCAGAGCCTAAAATATCACCTGCAATGTAAATTATACATGAACTGAGACCTATTTTAGGATCTATTAAATTTGAAAATATAGTTTTTTTTTTATCAAACAGCTTGATCAGATCAGTGTGGCTTAAGACATTTAAATAAATTTTGGTACCTTCATAACATCGTGAAAAAGGAACGATTTTTCAGTGAACAACATCAATTATGAATATTCAATTCAATAAACTTCTAGTTTCTCATTCAGGGTAGAACACTATATCACTAACAAGCAAAATATCTTCATCTACAATCTGCAAAAAAGATTTAACTCAAAGGAAATAAAGGAAAACAACCTCTGCACAATGCATGGAGACACAAAACTGAAAATGTGCAAACAATCCTTAAAACTTGTGAAATATGGTACAAATACACTGAGATTAAAATTCAACAGAACAGATATCAAGAAATTAAAAATATTTATACACCTAATAATAAAAATTCCATTTGTTGAAATCTTTCAATAATACATTTAATTCAAATTCCTCCACCTACTTTTTTCAGCGATAAAAATTACAAGTTGGGAAAATTGAGTGAATTTTTAACAAATATATTTAAAGATGTTTGAAAACCCTATTCTATGGCAACAGCACCAAATGCAAATATTTTATGTTCCAGCGCAGTACCACATCATTGCCAAGTTTGGTATCTCAGGGATAATTGTTTCGACCACAACATTTTAGCCAGAGAACTCTTGGATCTCTGTCTACTTAAGGCTAGTTTTCACCAATGTTGGAGTCCAAAGTAGACTCACAACCAGCAGAATTGGAAGCAAACTACTGATGCTTCATCTCAGTTGCTTTATATGATCTCGTGAAAATTATATATTAAAAGGTACGATTGGTTTTTACTGATGATCTATAGGAGGATTGATGCATAAATGATGTTATCAACAACACAACAGACTACATTTTTTTTAAACTGTTTACTTAAGAATCTTACAGTATATCTCCTGTTCCCCTCCCTGGTAAGAAAAAAAGAAATTCTCAGTCTCTCAATGTAAATATTACAACCTAATTACCAATTAAAAAATGATTCATTTGTGCACTCATACTTGAAAAACTCATTCCATAACACTTAACATTCACAAGATAAGATGAATGTTGTGTAGAGCCATCTGGCTGATTTTATGGAAAACTTGAAATTTTGTGCTAGTTCCCTTAAGATTCTGGGAGTCAAGTATCATCGTCAAAAACCTTTTTTGAAATATAATTTGTAATTTTGATAATTAAGTTATGGCAAAAATAAAGTGTTATGTACATCCATCCTTGCAGATGCATCTTCACTTTTGTCATCTGGCACCCTTTGGTACAATGTGTATCTGAAGAAAAAGAAAGGGCAATTACAATCATTATGATTACAATATCAAATAAAAGATTATTCTTCTCTGCTTGTATAGCCTGAGGGAAGGATGCGTGTTTTTTGACCAGCAGGAAGATTTGAAACAAGTTGAGGAGAGGTTGGCTGTTGGTCTGGCACTTGACCCTTTGCAGACCTCTTGTCACCTCATATTGCTTAACTCTTTACACCCTAACATCAGCATCAATTTTCTCCATACTTTTTTTTATACTTTTCTTTTGGTACTGAAAAGGAGAATTTGTTTTTAAATCAAAGCTTCTTAGGTTGCCAATCACTTAATGAATGACTCAGAAGTATTACTGTAAGGAGAGATTAGATATTGGTCACAGTTTGAAGGGTTAAGTTCCTCAAGGCCTCCAACCTCCTCAGAGACAAAAGAAAAACTTGCGTTGAAGTGCTACTGCATGTTTTCAAGATAACCATCAATAGTACTTGCATCACATGAACACAGCATGATTTCCATGTACTAGTTAGAAACTTAAAACACTTTAACTCCCAGAAGTGATAAACATATAACACCTCCCCAGAATATCCATACATTATCCAGCAAACAGTTACTGAGACTACTCAATTTATTGGGTAAAAGTTGTTATCCTGATTTAACAACAAATTCTTGTAACTAATTCATAAGAAAATGTGTAGCAACTAAATGGGAGAATTGAAATCAGATCTTGGAGGTTCAAGGATTAACATCAGGTCAGACTAAACACTCATCCTTACCTCACTTAGCATTATCCAGTTCAAACTGTTATGACCCAGTACACGTACTCTCATTTCCACAACTTTTCCAATCTCTTCGGGTACTGTGCCATCGGCAAGACCAGCAGGTGTGAACATGCCAACACTTTTGTAACTGGTCAAAGGAAACTCATACTTCATGAAATTTTTCTTTGCTTCTGGTGATCCTTCCCTGCCAGGCTCTAAGGACAAATTCATGCTTTCACGTCAGTACTGAGGAGTTGATTGCGAATAGACCCCAAACTTAGTGTTGATTATGTATTGTTACCTTGCAAAGAGTTTCTTGTCATCACCTTACATTATGTAATGTTATATGAGTAGCAGTATAAATATATTCAGTTGTCCGTGTTGTTTAGGTTACGTTAAGTTAAGTAAGTTAGTAGTTGCATATCTAGCAGTTAAAGTTTTTCATGTTATTTTAAAAACATTGGTCTTTGCTTAAACACAACAAGCACCCATTTCAATCTTGGGTGACAAGAGGCACTGTGATGTTTCTTTTGCCCAAGAACACATCACAATGTGTTCTTTAGCCCAAGAACACATCACAATGACTGAGCCAGATATAAAACCCAGACATCTCGCCAAGGAGTCCAGAGCACTAATCACAAGGCCGCCACATTTCCCTAACAAATAATTATCAACTTTATCAATTCCAGTTGACCTCCCTTTGGGAAAGAAGAAGAGGAACAAGAAAAAGGAAAGTTTAATTTCAAATGCTACAAGAAAAAGTGAACAAAGAGCAAATGACACACCTGGCATCTTCTTTGCCTGAGCCAGGGCCGTAACTGGAAGAACTTCCACTGAAGCATTCCTTATGATATCACCAGGATGCTCAAGATTTCCAGACTTGAAACGAAACCTGTGATTCCATAAGAAATTCAATTTCATCAGTGCCATTAGCAGGTGGATTCAGGCTCTCGTTAAATCAAAAACATTCCATGACAAGATCACTCCATTAAAGTAAAGGCAGAACTATAAAATGTTGGGAAACCAAAGAAAAAGGCTGCTTTTGAACATGAAAAGTATATTTGTCAAAATTAAAAATGTTACAGTACTTTTCTATTGTGATTTCTTGATCAAATTTGAATCTCATAACATCATCAGTATGGGGAGGATAAGCCCAGAAGAATGTCTGCCCTTTGTATGCACGGTCTATGGTGTAGCCTTGATATGGTTCCAGTGATGAAATTGACACAGCCTTGGGGTTTAAGTGAGCTTGGAACAATGGTGCTTTCTTGAAGTCTTTATCCTAGAGATCATGCAACAACAGATACAAGTCATTTTGTTCCTAAAAAAGTCTTCCTTTATAGCAACATTCCTTACAGCAAGTTTTTCTCAACAAGTTTTTCCATAAATTGAAATCAAAACCAATAGTTTGTGAGGGATACCTAAAACATAATTGGAATTGTCAGAAGTGATTAACATGTAACTTCTCCTCATACTATTCAAAAGACATACTATGGTGATGAGAATACTTGAACCTATCAGGTAGAAGTTGTTATCTTGATCTGTAACCAAATTCTCGTAACTAATTTTTAAGGAAATGTTTAGCAGCTAAAGGGGAGAATTAACAATCAGATCTTGAGAGTTAAAGGGTTAAATACACCAGACTTACAATTAAGTTTTGTTTCTTTCCTTTCAGTGATGATTCTTTGCCAACATGTTGAAAGAGAGAAGGTTTGAACCTTATTCGTAAGTGTGACTTCTCTCTTGCACAGTGTTGCTGCAAAAAGAGAAAATTTAAATTTCTCTGGTCAACATTGTTATTCAATCAATTCACTTACAAAATGAAAAAAAGACTGGTTAGTTGAAAAGTTTTTGTTCAAAATATTCAGATTTCCTGTTGAGTAATTTACTCTCACTGACACTCAGCTGAAATGTGCTCTGTATCAGGGAGAAGCTTCTAAGCTGCACTCTTAAAAGTATCACTTGGTGTCTGATGACACTTGTCTCAGAAATCTAGGGTGCACAGCTCCTAAAAGCTTCCATGAAAGAGAAGCTTTGCAAGCTTCCTGAGAACAAAAACCAATGGCCCACATCAAATTCTCAGAATTAAAACTCTAAAAAAAGAATGGTAGACAGTGCAGAAAGTTACTATTAAAAAAATTTGAGATTTTGGGAGTGAAAGGGTTAAAAAAGTCGTGTCATAAAAGCCTCTTATACAATCTTGGGAGTGATAAGATTAATACTTAATCCTTTAATCCCTAAGAGTGACAAGGTTCTAATTTCTCCTTACAATATCACTCCTGGATCAAATGTTTAAGTCATGAGAATAAAGGAAATGATCATTAACTAAAAGATGCTCTTGATTGTTAAAGAAATTCTCTTTGTCAGTACCATAGGAAATGTAAAGAGAACAGTGTGAAGAAAATGTATACTGATGTTAGGGTGTAAAGGCTTAATAGTAAAACAAAAGATAACTACTTACTTGATCTTTTTCAGGGTTACAGACTTTGACCCACAAAATGTGATCCATCAGCCAGTCAACAGGTTTGTCTTTATGAAACATTAGAAAGAACTCCACAACCATACTCAAGTCACTTGAACGGAAAAGCTTTCCTGTTAATCGTGTCAAAAAAAAAATTGAAAGGGGATTTGTGAGTCAGACTGGAGTCTTGCCCAAGACAAAACATACAAAACACCTTTACCAATAAATCCAAGAGCTGAGAACTCCAAAATAAGCCACTGATTTGTTTCTTGTTGAAGTGCAAATGTTTTGATTGTTGAAGCAAAAGATGGTGTGGCCACAATGTCATCTTCCAGCTAAATAGAAAGAGGCAATTAAACTTTTTAACATTGAGGTGATAATCATTTGATAAATAAAATATGTATAAAGTAGAAATTACTGCACCTGAACATAAAATCTTGCTTTTTTCTGGCAGTACATCATCAAGTAACAAAAATCAAGATTCTGTTTTGTTCTCCACCTAAATCAAAATAGTATCCAAAATCACAAGAAACAAACAGTGAAAAAATGGAATAAAAGATGGCTAAGAAAAGAGGATTCCACACCAGGTAAGGCAGTCAGCTGCAGGAGATGCAGGGAAATAACAACTACCGGTAATGCGCTGAATTTAAGATCATAGCGTCTGCTTTTGAGTCTGGCCCAGGTTGTTGTTTTGAGTTCTTGGGCTTAACACTTTCCTCTTACAGTGCTCCTGTAATTTCACCCCACTCTTTTAGAAAAAGTTTTGAGGAAATCGAACAAGATTCTGGAAATGTGAGGGAGACATACAGAAATATTCTGCTGATTGCTTGGTTTTAAAGAAAATATACTGAGCTCTGACAGTACTGCTAAACATACAGCTTGCAAGCCAAGCCATTTGGGACATTTTCCCTTCTCACTCATGCAGGTAGATCTTCATCTTCTACCCATCTTCCTTATGTATTCCACAAAAGTTGCATCACTAGGTGATTTCAAGACATGTTCACTTACTTGACTCTTTCTCTTGAATCTCCAAATGTTAGTGGAACAGTATCCAGATCTGGGTAAAAACTTGCTGAAGGTGAGACAATTTCTATCAATCCTGAATCAACATCTATAGGAAATCTGCAGAACAAGAGATGGGCACATATCAGTTTCAACATTACCCAACACAGTGATTAAAACAGACAGCCAAAAACCAAATAATTTTATTACCTTTGCTGGACGCCATTAGCTACGTCTTTACTAAATTCTATATCAGTCTGCAAAAAAAAAAAAACAAAAAAAAAACAAAAAAATTGGAAAAATGTTTAGCATTTGATACATGCACTTTATAATTGCACTTTTGCTGGATCTGCATAGTTTGCATCCAGCAAAATGATACAATCAATTGCAATGTTCCCTTGTAAAGAATTAAAATCCTTCTGGTCTTCAGAGCTTTATAAACATTTAGCTGATGAAATTTGGATCGTACAGACACATATGGACAAAAATTTCCAGTGGCAAGTAAAGGTTGCCCTGTGAAAGCTGGAAAATTACTATTAATAATTCTATCTTGTTATAAATAACTTTTTTTCTAATGAGTAAATATACTTCCCTTCCTTAACCCTTTAAGTCCCACTAGTGACCAAGATAGAATTTCTCCTTACACTATCTACACAATATCAAGCAGACAAGTAATGAGAATAAAGAAAAATATCAATTGGGGGATTATTTGTTGATCCAATTCCAAATTCTCCAAACTAACATCATATGAATTGTATGACAGACAATAAGGAGAATTTACTAATAAGATCTTGGGAGTTAAAGGGTTAAGCTCAACATTTTTTACTCATTTACCTCACCAACAAAAATGACTATAACACAGTCATCTTTATCTTCCTGAGACATTGCATCTAGTAATGAAGCAAGTGTATCCAATAGGTAGGACGTCCTCTCTCGCTTTATTGTGGGAATTCCAAAAATTAGAGACACTGAAAAAAACAAAGTATTCAATAGATCAATTAAGTAAAAAAATAGACAACTTAAATACTTTTGTGATGCTCAAGCCTTCTTTATTTTGTATATTGAAAATTATGCCCATTTTTGTATTTGCAATGATTCAAGGCATTGTTTCATTGCGGGCCTTTGCACCAACTTACTTTACGATTTTTATCCAGGGATTGTCACTCCTTTTATTTTCATTCATTAATAATAATTAAAGTAAACTTAATTTCTTGTCAGTAAAAGGCTATTGTGTTTATATGATAAACAAAATAATACATGGTTGCTGGTAGATATCATGGAATTTTTCTTCTTATGTTCAAATCCATATCTCCCTTGTTCGCTGTGCTCACTTGTGAGCTATTTATATCGAGTTGAACACTCCAAGAGGAGTTCCATAACTCCACGCACCCAAGTATTATTCTTTATATTTCCACTACATGATGCACTTGAAAACATACATACCTCCTTGGCGGTCCTTAGATACATGCAAAGCAGGCTTTAGGCTGCCAGGAGAATCCATTAGATGAGGCATAAAATTATAAATACTTGGTAACTGGAGCACATTTTGATTGTCAAAAAATAGCCTGGATGAATTCTTAAAGTCAGTATGAGTAATAGAGTTATTAGTTCTTCTATTTCTTGCAGCTTCCAATTTAGTCAACTGTTCCTTAAGTGAAATAAGTTCATGAGATCTGGCTGAATTCTGAAATTCTGCATCACGTAATCTTTCTCTCAGAGTGTGTATTTTCTTGATTAGTTCTTCATCTATTTGGTTACTTTCTACTCTTTGAGGTAAGCCTAGAAAAATAAAAAATGTTAAAACAGGTTAGGAAAATTATAAAATTAATACATACATGCACCATGTCCTATGAAAAAGTTTAGACATACTTAAATTACAGAGAAAGTCAAGCAAGTGAGACCACATACCAGGCGAGCATAGTTTTTTTTAATGTGTTTGAGGTACAAAAAAATGTTTTTCCATTTTCCCATTTTTGGTGAAATTATACCAAAACATGCTTTTTACCTTTATGAGCAATTATTTCTAGTGAAAATTTCTCATTTAAACTGCTTGCAATTATCTGATTGTGTTTCAGGTGGGTTGCATCATGAGATCTGTCTTGAAGAAGGAGTGCTAAAGATATACTGTAGGATGTTACATGTAGTTATTCTAAGGCACTAAACCAACTAAATCAATTTATAATAAGACAAGGGTTTTTTGGCTTTAATTTAGAGTTTAATTGCCATTCTGTAACATAAGTACTTGTTAAAAGCTCCTAAACATTGCTTTCATTTTAACATATTTCCTGATTACTTTCAAAATAAAGACATGTCGCAAAGTGCTGTGGCCAATATCATTGAATGTATTAACTGTTCCAAATTCCAGCTATAACTTTTATTGATGTTCCTTTTGAATAAAAAAAATGTTACCTTTAAATCATTCTACAAAGCTATTTAACAAGAAAGACCAGGCAGTATGGTTGGGTAGTAACCCTTTCCATCCTAATATCAGTAGTCATATTCTCCATACTGTTCTCTATACATTTCCAAAGTGATGACGAGGAGAATTTGTTCAGCAATCAAGAGCTTCTTCAGTTTGCGATCATTTCCTTTATTCTCATGACCTTCATGTGTGATTCAGGGGTGATATTGTAAGGAGAAATTAGATGCTGGTCTCACTTAAGGGTCAAAGGGTTAAGGCCTATCAGACTGGCCCTTCCAAGCTATTTTCATTTTGAAGTGAATCAAAAGTCAACTTGTCAGCCATGCTTGAAACAGTTACATTTCTAACAGAAGGGGTGGGACTCTGAAGAAACTTTACAACCTATCATAAATAACTGGTGTCAAAATTTTTGAAAACCTCTGCAACAGAAAAATCGAGAAAACAACCCTGATCATGATTTGTCTCTGATTTTCTTGGGAGACTGTTAGGGCCCCATCCCCAAGAGTGTTTTCAGTTGGCAATCTATTCCTTTACTCTTAAGACATTAATATGTGATTCAGGGGTGATATTACAAGGAGAAATTAGATGCTTGTCATTCTTAGGGATTAGAGGGTTAAGGCCTAACAGACTGGCCCTTCCAAGGTATCAGGTACAAATTCCATCCTAAAAATAAGTTTTTTTTTTTCTGTTTTGAAGTTAACCAAAAATCAACATGTCAGCTATGCTTGAAACAGTTTCTTATAGAGGAGGTAAGTTTCTAAAGAAACTGTGTTGCTGCAATTTGGTTTATCAACTGAGGTGATAATGTAAACTGGCCACATAAGAGGTTTCGAAAGCTGACATTCCCCTTGTTAATTTCATCTGTTAGATTGAATCTTTCTGATGAAGGGCTTACGCTAGAAATGTCACCTTAAGAAACTTTATTTGGCATCCAGTTTACATAATCAACCCAGCTGATAAAACCAAATTACATCTGATTCTATAAAATTTGTACTAAGCTCGTTATATATCAGCTAGGATTTTTAATCATGTTAGGTTTGATTTGCAAGATTTATTTCCAAGAGAACCAAATGTAAACTTCTCAGCCACCCTTAAAAAAAAGTTAATAAGCTTGCCTCCCACCAGCTTGGTTATTAATCATGTTCAGTGTGATTTTTGGGATCAATATCGGTATCTGGGCAACTGCCAACCTACCCCTCCCCTCCCCTAACTCAACAACAGTCAATTGACAACAAGTTAATGTTGATGTTGGGTTAGGGGAGGGGTAGGTGGGCAGTTGCCCAGATACTGATATTGATCCAATTTTTGTTTGAACTTGATTGATTTATGTCTAAAAAATGGCCGAAGTAACTGGCCTAATTCTTAAATAAGAACAGAATCAAATGCTATAAAAGTAGACAAGTATACAGGATGCATTTTAATATGACACAATAAATTTAATTTTATCATTAATTTCAGAGACAAATTATTGATAACTATGCGAGAGCACCAGAGTCTGTTCTGTACCAAATTTTTATCATTGCATCATCATAAGCTCTAAGATTTGCAACCATTTCATTTATGATTGTTTAAAACTGCATTGCTAGGTAGAGAATGGGTGCCTGAAACATCCAGGAGCTTCCACTATTGGCAGCTAGCTCCTAGATGGAGACTGCTCCCATGGCTGGTAAATCCTAGCAACTCAGCCCTGAGCTCCCAAGCAAGAAAGGGAAACAGACACATGTCACACTGAAAAAACAGTGGAAAGAGGATAATAAGTTACCACTCCAAACAATGCTGAAAGTTCACACTCGAAGCACATGCAAGAAGGCCTTAAATGAAGTACTCGTATAATTCGGACACATGCACATATGCAAAAACCACTGACTACTAGAGAACACTGATGTTCTTTGTTGCCAACTCTGTTAAATTGCATTTAACTGCATGAAAAATAGTCACTCCTAAAGAAAGCCACACGTCCATACAAACAGGACATAAAACTCTTTTATTATTTCACTGGTGTGTCCAGCAAGTGATGCTTAATACATTCCAGAAGAATGTAGACTGTTTTTTTTTTATCTATTCATAATCTTAAATTTTAAGCCAAAACTGTGAAAAGAAAAGGCAAATATTCTCGAAACTGTAATTATGGTGTTGTGGACGCTTTGCTGGGATCATTCTTATCTCAAATACTGCAAGTTTTACAAGTACTTTCTGCAGCATAAATAAATTGTATTGTATATCTTCAAATTTTCATACCACCTGTCTTCCCTTAGGGGAAAAATATTTCTTTAGAATTGCATTTTTCCTTAACATTTGTTCCCAAAATGATAATTAGTGAAAACATTCCTAGAAAGCATTATCTATTGCTAAGGCTGTATCAACTACAAAAACGCTCTATCAGTTTACCACATACCTGTGATGACAGATGAATAAACCAATCTTCTTCATGTACATATTTAACAATATAATTGCCGTAAAAAAATTAAGTAATTCACTACATGTATCTAAGAAGGACCTAGCAAAGTAAAGTGCTTTCAATTTCTGAGATAATTAATCTATTTCCTGATTAAAGTAATTCACTAACTGGACATAACGTGGGAAGTCTGAGACACCCTTTAAACCAAGATTTCCTATTATTTTTATCAGCAAATGCTATAAAGAAATTTGTATTCACTTAAATTTACACAGCTTTTATAAATTCAAAAACAATCATTTCTTATTGTAAGAAGCATGTTTAAAATATGTTTCATGAGTCAAGAGCTAACAATGTATTGGAAGTCGTCACAATTTGCCATACATAATTTTTATCATTTTTGAGTGTTTCAGTAAATTTTAAAACAGATACATTATGTTTATGAAAATATCCAGCCTTGACAACCGAGCTTCCTTGATTAACTGCATAAATAAAACAGCACCAAATCATATTGAAGGTGAACCAATTAGTGGTTTCCCCAAGGACAAAAATTTTGACGATATCTTCCTTTTTAAAAACCACGTAGTGGATAGTTGACAATGGTAAAAATAATGATGAAACTTTTGTCTTGAGAATCTAAGTACACGCTGTTATTTCAAAGCTTTATTTTCAAACAAACATGTATGAATATCACGATAAACAAAAATGAATTTCTCGTTTAGGTTCAAATTCAATATCTCTGTTCCCGAAAGGAATCTTTGACCCTTAAGTTAGGTGATTGCTAAAAAAGCCAAGGACTGTGGGTGAAAATTTTGGTTAACTGAGCGCTGTTTTAAACTACACAATTTAGAGTTTGATGTATGGTTTGAAATATTAATGCGGTGGGGCGAAACTCCAGATGCTCTCCCAGTTTTTCGAACAACTAAACCGTTCTGTGACAGAAAAAAATCGAATCGAACAATAATCGGCCTTCCTCTAAGAGATCGTGGAAAACGATTACCGGCGTAACGAGTTCCGCAGTCATTTATGAAGCAGTCGTACCTAACTTGAATACTACTCTAACAAAACGACAGGGACAAATGTTTGGTGAGGGAGAACTCTCCAATTAACAACAACATTGAGAATAACCGTTTAGAGCACTCAAATTCAGCATACTAGATCATTTTGGAGAGACTTACCCTATGCGAGTTCTGGCGAGCGGGTATGCATTAGCACTACCATTGTTTTCAATCTAAATTTGATCCTGAAATTCGGCAAATTATCTAGCGCAATCAACTCAGATCGTATCACCAACTTGGGCCTATTTGCATAGGCCGAGGACACGTCGAAAAACTATGTTAAAAGTGCACGTTAGTGACAGAAATGCATAGACGGATAAACGTTAATAACTTACGTTCTCTCTCCAAAAGAAAATGATACATCAGCGGACACAAAACGATGATCACAAACACAAGGAGTCTGTTCCTTCTAACAGCGGTCCAAATCATCTCTTCTCAACAGTCAAACGTAAACAAATCCGTTTTGCAATAAGACGAACTGCTGCCATCGGTACAACATGGTTTTTTCCCGAGAACCGCAAGCGCCGCGTGAGAGGTCTGAGGTCTAGTTGCCACTGTCGCGTGACCTCTTCAGTCACGGAAGGAATGCCAACAAATCTTTAAAGATACGGCGAATATATGCGCTCAAAATATCGGCTCTTACTTGGTGTAGAAAAATAATATACGTCAGTATACTATCTTTTTCGTTGTTTTCTTATTTTCGGCTCTGATGAAATTCTATTTTGACGTATACTGTGTCTTCTACACTAGGTAAGAGCCAAAATGTCGTTCGACCAAATTTGATGCGTACAATGAAATCATTTCTCTCATCCGGACAGTTTATCACAAAGTGGCAAAAACCTGACGCAAGTTAGTTACGTTATGGTAGATCGCTTTCAGGTGGTGAAGGTAGACCTGAGACAGGTGTTACTCGGCGGGAAAGACAATGTGCATAAGTGAAAAAAGAGACTGGAACAAGCGTTTCGCAAATAGGAAGTATTCCAAGAGACATTCCTCTTACGCTTACATACATACATACATACATACATAACTTTATTTGATAACGCAGGTTAAAATTTGCGCAACTTTACAGCTGATGTGGACCTGCCTAAACTAATTAGTCTATAATTATATAAAATACAGATATGATAAAATTTATAAGTTGAATAAATCAAGTAGACCATAAAGTTTTAGTAATAGTGAAAATTTGGTTTCATGTTTTGTATAACATTACCTCCCTTTTCAAAATTAATATTCATAACAGTTTGCTTGGATTGTTTTAAGTTATATTTAAAAATAGATAAATTTGGAGAATCTTTAACATTATCGGGAAGTGCATTCCATGCTACTGCAGATCTATGAGCAAAGGACCTACGACCCAATTCGGTTTTGGGCCTATTAAGTACAACATTCAGGGATTTCCTTAGGTTATAACTGTTAGAGTTCTTGGTCACCAAACAATTAATTTCCCGCAACCCTAAATTATAATAAGCATTATATGTAATAGTTAAGATACGTAGCTTATAAAAATACTCTAAAGGCATCCAGCCAACCTTAGAAAGTACATCATTATCCCCAAAACTATTTGGTATCTTATGAATTAGCCTGGCAGCCCTGATGTGAATCATTTCTAGATCTTTAAGCTTGGATCCAGACCCCCAAATTGCAATTCCATATAGAACACTTGGTATAACTATCCTATAGTTATACCAAGTTACGCTGGGTAGGGGTGAGAGAAACACGTAGATATATTTCCAAAGAGGCAGTCCTTTGTTGGTTATTTTTCATACTCATTTTGTCAAAATCCTCGCCACCAAGATGTTTCCCGTGACATGACCGTGACTATAAATAACAGCAGTGACCACTAGACCTCAGACCTCTCGCTGAGCGAATAAGAAACACTTTTTAAGGAAATGACGTTTAAAATGTGTTTTCTTATAATTTTAAAAATATGAAGGATACCGCCGTAATTCTTCCGAGCAGAAAGCGTTTTCAAAACGGAACTGAAGACGTCCCGCTGATTTCTGATACTCGCAATTAAAAATAGAAGACCATTCGTTCCTTGGTTCGCCAGCGTGAATCAGCGTGAATCCCCTCAGAAGTAGCCTACCACCGACAACTGTCGTTGAATTTCCTGCATCCCCTTGAAATTACGCTGTTCAGTGCATGTTTAAAACTCCAGCGTGACCCATTAATTTCTCGTCTTTTGTTTGTGAGGGTTTCATGCCGTTCAGTTTTTAAACAAGGGCCCGTTTCTCGAAGGTCCCCGAGTAACTTATGAGCCCGAAGGCATATTTTAAAATCACAATTTAAAAATAGAGGAGCAGGTTCCTGCATCATAACTGTTACATTCTGCTTTTTTTCCTTAAAGTTTAATTGTATAATTTTAAAACTTTTGAAACCCCCAATCTTGAATGAAAACAGCTTTAAATTACGGGTCCGTTAAGATACCGGGATCTTCGAGAAACGGGCCCTAGGGCACAAAGTGTAAAATAATTTATCAGCCGTTTGATTAAGATTTTCTCATGCCAATCGGTCGCCATGTGAATTATCTCAGCGACATCTGTGGTCAGCCATCTAAAGCTTTCACGCAACAACTGAAGCTTGTTTTGCAGTTACCGTGATCAAAATAACCGGGACCTTTGAGAAACGGGCCCTGGGGCACAAAGCGCAATGAATAATCAGCCGTTTGATTAAAATTTTTCTCATGCCAATCGGTTGCGATGTGGAATATCTCAGCGATATCTGTAGTCAGCTACTTAAAACTTTTACGTAACGTCTGAAGTTTGTGTTGTAGTTACCGTGATCAAAATAACAACAAAATAATTTTACACGCGCGCGATCCGCGCAATCCAAATTTTGCAGAGAGTAGACTGGGAAAGAAATGAAAACTAATTAGAACCCAAGTCCCGTAGGAGAATAGAGATAAATTCCAAGATGGAGGAGGTGGACAACATAATTATTCACACGTTCAGACAAGTCGGCTGGTACGGTTAAAGTTTTGTTTATTTCTTCGGTTGTCCCTTGGATAATTTGAAAACTTAGCAATTTACTCGCTAAACCTTTATTTAAACTTGTTGTGCTCCGAAACTTGCTGTATGATCGTTAGTTTATAACCCCCAATGTGGCTGTCTCCCTCCTTCGAAATGCTTTGATACATATCGTCCTTAGAGAGACAAAAGAGATCAATAGACCACTATACCGAATCATAAAGATCATAAGCTAGTTAATAAGTTCATGTATGTATTAAAAACTCTAGGAAACTTTACCGTTTTATGGGCCTTAAATAGTGCCCTCGTTGATGACCTGCCCCTCCTTCTGGAAACACTTAGAAATGAAACAACTCCCCCTCCCTCTCGAGCCATTTTCCCTCACGAATTTTGCTCAGAAACGAGGCCAATAAATGCAAGATGAGTATCAGATTCATAATAATTTTTTGTCTTCGAACAATATGGATTTGAAGTTTTACCCTTTGTGAAGAACTGTTTTATTATTCCTTTTATTTGAGAGGGACTGATGCTTACAAGATGCCCAAAAATTCACAGAAACATGTTTGGCTTTATATTTTAAGCTTTGTAAACTGATATTGATTTTAGGGTGATATCGACAGGGAGGGTAATTTCCAGAAAGTGTAGTCATTTTGTCAAGGTTGAGATGATCAATGGAAAGGCGGAATTTGTTGTATTTAAAATACATCCAACTTTTAGCCCTCTGTGTGATTTAAACACTTTCCACTCTCTTAATAGTGACATCCCTGAGGATGTTTCAAGTCTAAAGGAGTTTACCACAGCCATGATTGTAGCAGCAACATCAAAATGTCTTCATATGATCAAAGAAGATCTTCAGATTCCATCTGTGTTGCCTGCTAGCATGTCATCTAAGTTCCGTCTTGGAACAACCCTTGCCAACGCTTGTCAGGTGCGTTTTTGTTTTCAGAAGTTTTAAGGGTCTGTGCATGAATCAACCTATTCTGTTTGTGAAATTTTAAGACTGTTTTTCTCCGATCTGCACATCAGTTTACATTCGAGCAACAGTTTAATTGGAGAGCGTTTTTCTATGCTTTTTTCCTTTGTTATTTTCAATGTATATTCCTAAAAGAAATACTGATACCATCCTTTTCATATACAACCTGTCACAATTTTCATAACCTTGACAACAGAAATTTGAAAGAAACAACCCTGATCAAAATTTCTTTATGATTTTCTTGGGAGACCATACCCAAGTCAAATTTATATGGTTGTATTTTGAATTTCCTTAAAATTTTTTGTACTGTTTCCCACCAATGAATAGCTTACAGGGTGAAAATTAATACAATTGTTTGGAAAAGTGTCTTGGTAGTGCAGACTTGGTGTAGGTCAGGTCCCTCAAAATGTTTCTGCTAAAAACCTTTAATTCAAATAGCAACTTCATTCTCTTGAATTTTTCTATAAACACCATGATTATGCCTTTGTAGGACCTTGTGGCTCCTTTTGTGGGCTGAAATTGAGGTTTTGGCCATTTAAAGTGTATTTTAACTTGTTTGCATGCTTGCATGAATGTTCAGTCTGCTTTGTGGTCATTTTTATTTTCTGATTGTCCTCCAAAGACATAATAGTAGTAATACAGTTCATATTCTCAGGTATAAATATGTTTTGGACCCTTTTAAGAGTCATTTTAACTCTCACCTCACAGCTTAGGCTAAAATGACTTTGAGATGGTCCTGAAACATATTTATGCCTGCGAACCTAGCCTCTATTGTTTTATTATACCTATCAAGTCTTTGTAGATGTCACTGAAAACAGTAATACCTTCTCTGGCATTGTTGAGCACTTTCTCTCTCCCACTGTCATTTTTTATTGAAATTGTTTTGTTGATGCAACTTTAATTTCCTTTATTACTTTTCTTAATTTTATTTTCATAAATTCATTTGTATAGGAAGTTGGATACCGTGGCGAGATTGGCTATCAGACCTTTCTATATTCCAACGAAGCTGATATCAGGAAATTGTTTATGTTTTTGGTGGAGCATCTTCCAAAAGAGAGTTCAGAATCAGCTGGTGAACCTTTAGGTATTTCATTTGTTTTACAAAGAAGGTCCTTCTTGCCAGACCTTACATTTTACAACTATTCACTAAAAGTGGATATTTACTGGGCTGTGCAGCAGTTAGGCAGATATTCACCACTAGCCACTGGCACTGAGAAGAATAGTTGTGTTAGTAAAATTATACTGAATCAGTTAGATAATATAGGGCAAAAAGGTTATTTTAACTCATTTATTCCTGCAACAATTACAATATTTTCGGCTGCAAATCCTGCATGAGTGTCAGAGAGAGAATAGAAAAGGATACACCAAGTCTGAGTAGCCATTTAGGGCATGCCGTCAATGCTATCCACTGTTTTAGTATATACTAAATCATGTTATTAGTTGCATAAAGTGACTAAGAGACTGTACAGTGTATATTTATCTCCCTAGAAACCAGTCGGTAAGAGGTTTACCCACTCCTCCCCAGCATTTTATCCACTTTTTACAACAGTTTGCCAATTTATTTTGCTGATATGCTGTGTTTATATATGCTTTCCCAGGCTCATCTGTAATGTTGCACAGGCGAATATCAGCAGAGTTGTCCAAGAGGCTTAAGAGACCTTGGACTCCTTCATTTTGCAAAAAGGACAGCATCAGCTGGAGTGGAACCAAGCCCCAAGTTTGGCACAAAGAGGTACAATCATTTTTATTAACAGACTTCTCTTATTGTCCCAACATTGGTCTCGATCCTGTTCATGTTAATAAAGTAATATAAAGTAAAGTAATAAAGCATCAACTGAGTTTATAACATAAATTGGCCACCATTAAGAGTTTCAAAGCTGACATTTTGAGCATTAGCTCTTTGTCATTAATGCTCTGAAGAAGGGCTAATGCTTGAAATGCCAGCTTTGAAACTCTTAACAGGGGCTGATTTATGTTATCAGCTCAGTTGATTTTACCAAATTACCTTTTTCTACTCTCCCACTAAGGCAGCACCACAGTTTCTTTAGGAATGTACCCCCCCCTCCCTTTTATTCATATCAAAGCAAGTTATGCAGGGGGCCTTGATGAGGGTGACACTTTGAAAAGTCCTTTTGTATTATGTACAAGAGCTGCCAGCTGGCAAATGGTACCGGTGGTGGCTTCAAGAAGGGACATGAATTGGAGAAACAGCCTAGGAAACAGTTGAGATTGAGTAAAAATCTTGATAAGTAACTTGCATCTGTCAGTGTACTTCAAAAACTTGCAGACCACTCTACATAACTGTATCAGTGAGACTCATTAATGTCTAATAATCATCATAATATTTTAAAGGGAGCCAGATCTGTGCGGAGATTTCATGCTTGCCCTGTGAGAGTACCAGAGGGTCTTGGAGATTTAACCAAGAAAATTCCTAAAGGTTAATATAATTGTATTTTGTAAATTGTTATTAATAGTTTGTTTTGTCATCAATTCTGGATCCAGTATTCTGAAGGTAAACAAACTCTGCCTTTGTAAGTGATGCTGTTAAAAAGCAACAAGAGACTTCACAATTTTTTGAGCGGTATTAGCATCCTAGAGAACTTAAAAAACTATCAGGTAAGTATAACAGTTTGCTTGGCTAGACATACACCAAAGTGTTGAAAAAGAAAAAAATAAGAATTAACATGGATATAACAGAGTTCTTAATAGGGATGAATAGAAGAGGTGACTGTTATAGCTCCTCAATCTGTAGCTCTTGATCAGATCAATGATTCTCCCTGGCCACTATATAATCCCTTTAAATCAGTTGAGATAATTTGGTTTCATATCAATGAAGGTAACATTCTCCAGCTGTCTTTTCTCTTGGCCTGCTTGTTTGAGGATATGGGTTTATAATGTATGTAGGGAGAATTTGTGTGTGTATCTCTCTTATGAGTTGAAGTGTTATGTTCTTACAATTGACTGAGTGTCTTATCTCTTTTTACTGATCTTTCCAGAATTAAAAGCTTACTATAGCAACTCAATGCCACTCATTACAAGCCAGCCATCTTGCCGCCAAGATGTTGCACCATCTGTGTTAGAAGCCAATGCCATATCTGTCACTCTAGCCAATGAATGGGAAAATGAATGGAATCAAAGTGGATTAGCATCACGGCTGTCTAAAGAGGTTTGTGGCTTGATAGTGAGCCTACTGATCTGTTTAATAGGTGATTAGGTATGGAAAGATGTCTAGCAAATGCCTGTCTCTACCTGAAAATGTTGTGGTCTGTTCTTATCTTAGCCCAGGTCACCCTGATGTGTTCTTGGCCATGAAAATTGCATCTTCTCTCCTTGTAAGAGTCTGTCAATGCTTACAGGCAAAACTGTTAAGGAAT